ATACCAAAACCATTACCAATCCCAAATTAGTATTTTTCGGATATAGATCATGTGTAGATATCGCCAATAAAACTTTTGGGTTTTTGCGATTTTATTTTTGTTTCATCTCATATTTTTATTCAGGTTTCCAATTTACTTTTTTAATCTTTTTTTTCATCGATTTTATCTTTTTTCTAATTCAAACAAGAACTATCAAACAGGTAACTAGTAAAACAAACAATATTTTTGTATATAAAGTTAAGGTAGTTATATTTTTGCAACACCCAGGGTAAGACGCAGTGTTTTACAATCAAAATAGCAATAAAATTACAAAAGGTTTACTAAAAGTCACAAAGCGAGTCTCTATTAATTTTTTTATCCAAATGGTCCTTGTGGTTTGCGAAACTTGCAAAGTTGGCCCTTTTTACTAACACCGTTAGTAAAACGCTGTTAGAGACTAAATTTATAAGGGCATTTTCGTCTTTTCAAGTAAAACGTCGTTATAGACTAAATCTATAAGGGCAAAGTTGGTCCTTGTGGTTTACGCCTAATGTACCAAAAAAAAAAAAAAAAAAACCTTTAAGGACCGATGAGGATTTGAATTATAAAGGGCGTTTAATCGTTTAAATAACAATGAGGTTGTTTAAGTAACTATAAAGTGTAGTTATTGAAAATTCATTTACTATAAATATGAGACTCTATGTTTTCATATTTTTTGCACCATTCTCTTAATTCAAGAGTCTTTATCTTCTTATCCTCGAGCATTTCGGTCCCTCGTGATTCGATTTCTCTTTCTGTAGTTTTAGTATAGTAAGGTGGGCGTTGAAGCGCTATAAGAATCTTTTTAGAAAGAAAAAAAAAAAGATTTAGCTACGAAGTTCTGACCATGGAGTTCTAATTTTTCACTAGAAACCTTGTAAGTTAAGCTACACCTATTACGCTTTAAGTGTAACTTATGTTTAAATTCATTATCGTTATTATGAACTTATAAACAAGATTTATCAGTGATTTAAAGTCGTTATACTGATTGATTTACTTACGGGGATTATGACAATGCTAGATTTACTGAGGTGTTTAAAGTGGGTTTTCCAAACAGTATAGTTTGTATACCAAACAGATCTTACCTCTGATATGATCTTACGTGGTTGTCACTTATCAGCTGTAGATTAGTAGACTTTGAATTAATGATTAATCTAGACTAATAATTAGTCGCAATAAATATTAAACTAAGACTCAGTGATAACAATACCAGGTTACATCGAAGGAAACGACAATTGCTAAAAGCAAAACGTTGTCTGGGTTTCGAGTCATCACTTTAACAATTGAGTGCATAGTTACATTCATCTTACACACCGATGTGAAGTATTTAATATAAATACATACTATATGTACTTATTATATGTGTTCTTGATATCTATGCTAGATGAACGATTTATACATGTTTTACTTGATTTAAATTGAATATATATTTTTATACCTATAAATATATTGGATAAAGATAGATAGATGAAATATGATATAGATGATGAAAGATGAAAGATGATATAGATGATAAGAGATGAAATATGAGAAAGATGATGAGAGGCCTTAACTTTAAAGAAGACATCATCTAGCTGAGTATAGATGACAGCCACAGACTATTCTAGACATTCCGGTGGAACGCTAGCAGACTCGCAACCTGTAGGTGTTTGTGAACCATGTGTTCATTAGATGTACTCTAAAAACCCATTGACATGTATTGTGGGTGGACTCCCTAAAGTAATGTTGTCGATAAAGAAAATAAACCCTGATAGTTATGGACTTAGTGCCTAACAGATAAACACTAACAGCTATGAACTTAGTGCATATTAGATAAACCGTGATAGCGATGGACTTCATGTCTATTCCTTAGGACAAATCCTTAGGATTAAATATAGAAGAATACCTACTGACAAGTATCATGGAGGAATCTTTGAAATAGTATTGTCAGCATAGATGATCCTTTGGGTAGATCCTTAAGAATAAAAAAGATAATGGAGATGAGAAATTGGCTTAATTGTTTGATGATTAAACATATTAATTATATTATTGTGAGTTGAAAACCCTATGTACTCACCAAGTTTTCCAAACTAACCCACTCAGTTTATTGTATCACAGATAGTGATATTAACGATACATTCTGCTGAGAGATTCAATGAGTATTAGGTCACTAGTTTAATTACTGTAAGACTTGTACTATTTCGTTATGTTTATGTTGTCGTATTGACGATAACATCCCAACATTTTAATATAAATACAATACATTTCCTCGGAAATGCTTTGATAATATCATTATCATGTTATTGGGAACAAATTCCGCAATATTATTCTTCAAAAAAAAATACTCTAATTTTTAAATAATCATAAATAAATCGGTCTTTCTGGGCATGAAATTGGGGATGCCACAACCATGCCCCTACACCACCACCATTGGGGTGGTCTTGATGAGTGTGTGTGAGAGAGAGAAAGAGAGAGAGAGAGAGAGAGAGAGAGAGAGAGAGAGAGATGGATAAGTCTTCGAGCATGGTTCCGATTACGCGGCATCACCATGACGCCGACTAGTCAGGATGGTGTTCACACCTACGACGCGCATGACGTTCGGACGACCCCCCTCACTCCCAATACCCTTATCAATTTATTAGTTTTTCAAAAAGATAAGTTAAAAAAGTGTTTGTCAAGTTAATTAATAAGCATTTTTAAAAAGTGTTTTTGTTATCCTTGAAAAAATCATTTTAAATAAGTTATAAATTATGAGTTTTTAAAAAATGTTTGTTACTTATTCACCAAAAATAACTAAAATTAATCCAACGGTTTGTAACTTATAACTTTTTGACATTATATAACCTAATCCGAATATTTTTTTTAGAAATCCATTTTTGTCACCACAAACTAATAAACAATCTTAACAAAAATAAATAAATAATAAATAATAAATAAAATAAACAATTCGACATGCCTACTAAGATTGGAGAAATAAATAAGAAAATATCAAGACAACCCCACTACATTAAAAACCTTATTAGTCACAGGTATGAGATAAGCACTAAGAACAATCTACAATAAGTTAATAACGCAATGTCAATTCGTTTCCTGATTATGTCATAGAAGTATTTATAGTTAACTTATTATATATCAATATTCTTTTAAAAAAACATTCATTTGTACATCAACTATTTTATTTATACCCGTATTTTTATTCATTTAAAAATTAAATATTACTCATTCAAATATGCTATCTTTTTAATATAAGTATTATTATCTTTCATATACATATATATATATATATATATATATATATATTATATATATATATATATATATATATATATATATATATATATATATATATATATATGGTTAGGTTCATGTGAGATGGCCTAATTTTGTGAGGTATTTTTTTATTTTTATTTTTATTTATTTTTAATTTTTTTTAGTTAATTCAAGTTCCGAAAATAATATTTAAAAAAAGAATTTTTTTATTTTTCTACTTATTTTGCATTTTAAAATTATTTTTAGAATATGTACAGTGTAATATTCAATTTAGAATATTTCAAGTATTTTTCAAAAAAAAAAGGATTTTTTTTTATTTTTTTATAATTTTTTTTGGTTAATTCAAGTTCCGAAAATAATATTTTAAAAAAAAAATTTAGATTTTTCCATTTATTTTGCATTTTAAAATTATTTTTTAGAATATGTCAGTGTAATATTCTATTTAAAATATTTCACGTATTTTTCAAAACTGTATTTTTTTAACAAAAAAATCAACGTTTTAGGTACATATATATGCATATTTTTTCAATTGCATATATGTATGTTTCTTATATTATAATATTCGTAAGTAAATTATAAAAAATCTCATTTTTATTAATCAATCTAAAAACATAATACAAATATTTTATTCGATACAAAATAAAATATAAAAAATACAAAGATTCATAGTATTATCATTTCTTCATATCAGGATTTCCATATTTTCTTCAATTTATCACTTTTCACCTCTTCAATATTTTCCAAAAATTCTTCAAAATCTACAAGAAAATAAAAAAAAAAAATGATTAATGCAAGAACACGCACATGTATATATCATGTAAGATTCACATGTTATTATATAATGTGATATTCACATGTGATTGTATCTTTTAAGATTTAACTGTGAAATTCACAAGAAAAAATTAAAAAATAATTAATGAAGAACACTTACCCAAAACGCATGTGTGCATATAGACGTAATTCATATGTGATTCACTTATGATTTACATGTGAATCACGTTTAATTGATATGTGATTCACTTGTGATTTACATGTGATTAATATATGAATTAAATGTCTATACATGTGAATCACATATAACACATATGTGATTTACATGTGAATCACATGTAATTCATATGTGATTTACATGTGAATCACATGTAATTCATATGTGAATTATGTAAATCAAATCTAATTCATATGTGAATAACATGTGATTAATAATACACATTATCATAACGATTCACATTACTAATAACATGTGATTAGTAATGTGAATAATTGTAGATTCATAATGATTTTTTTAAATAAAAGGGGAAATGATTTTTTATTACATGTTTTGTTTTGTAGCCTGATGTTACAGCTCCAGGGTTAAATATCCTTGCAGCATGGTCACCTGCAATTGGAAAAATGAAATTTAACGAATACTTCATCAAATCACATATAATTCACTTGTGATTTACATGTGATTAATATGTGAATTACATGTGATTTACATGTGAATCACATATAACACATGTGAATCACATATAATTCATATGTGATTTACATGTGAACCAGATGTAATTCATATATGAATTACATGTGATTCATATGTGAATAACACGTGATTAATAATACATAGAACCATAACGATTCACATTACTAATAACATGTGATTAGTAATGTGAATAATTGTAGATTCATAACGATTTTTTTTAAATAAAAGGGGAAACGATTTTTTATTACCTGTTTTGTTTTGTAGCCTGATGTTACAGCTCCAGGGTTAAATATCCTTGCAGCATGGTCACCTGTATTTGGAAAAATGAAATTTAACATTTTTTTCACACCTTCTTGTTAGGGAAAATTTGTATTTTTTGTCTCATCTGATTCAACAAGCAATAATCTACAATTTTGCCACTTGTAAAAATAAAAAACTTTACCATTTTATCCATGTCTGAGGGGTAGAAATTAGCACCAGATGGTTTCTTCATTGGAAAGGCAGCCTTGTATTCAATTCCATTCCAACCTAGAACCGACTTTGTTGATTTCGGAAGTAATCTAATTGTAGAGTCTACAGTCGTCAAAAATGCTTCATTTTCATCAAGGCAAGACCTACAAAACCAAATAACCTTAATTTACACAAATACCAAAGATATGATGAATGGTCTTATAAGGTATTTGCAGAACAGGGTCTTACCATGGGCTTTTGTTTACTGAATAATAACTCCATTTCAATTTGTCAAATGAGACTTATAATCATTCCCCTTTAACCATTCTCTTTGAGATGGATTACTGAACAAAACCTGTTGATGGAAAATATCATCCATCATTCTTACAGCATGAATGAGTAACATTAATGCTTCCTTGCCCTCCTTGGTCAAACCGGTCAACTGTGGAACAAGAATAAAGATTCATATTAAAAAATTAATTCATATTGTAGTAAAGTTGATGTTAAAGTGAGAATACAATTATAAAACCTCTACAGTAAGTGAGATAGGATCATAACGATTGAGCTTCTTTTGAAGATCCAAACTCAGTGCTTCCACATTGCAATGGTACCTTTTCATAATTATGTCAAAAAGTTGACCATATTGCCCCTCTAGATTGTAGGGAACATAATTAGGATCTTCTTTAGCAATAGCCTGCTTATACTCCTCAATGGAGATATACTGAACAACAGAAACTTCAGATTCTTGAAAGAAAAAAAAAAACAAAAACAAGCACATGTTTAGATTTCAAATTTTCAATAACGACTTTATAAATTCTGGTATATATTCTCAAAATAAAAAATGATTGAATTATACATCACCGGAAGAGTAAAAGCCTCCAAGGGAATTGGGGATACTGTTGTAACGAGATAAACATCATCGAATTCATTATTAATGAAATTACCATTTTTTGTGACACTGCAATTACAAATTTACAATAATAGCAAGTCATGGAATATGGAAATCAGAACATTTAATCGTTGTAGCTTAATGAAAAACTAATAAGAAAGTAAAGTCTACCTCTGTTGCAGGAAAACAAAAAGTAATTCAAAGGCATCATTTGGGAGTGTCAGACCAAGCTCTTCTTGAAGCTATCTCCTGCAAACAATAAGCATATAACAATGAATTAGTTACTTATATCCATGATTAGATCCAAAATTTGCTTCCATGAGAGTCCAATAATTTACCTAACAGTGATAAGGGATGAATCCCTAGTAGATATATAGCACTAGAGATATCCCATAATCCAGGCCATGAATCCTTGCAATCAGCTTGTCATTGTAAAAGAAGTTCTTGTGTACTTTCAGCAAAAATCCACACATGGGCAGCTCGGTGATAATCCCCATCTTTGTGAACAACTCCTCTGTACAAGGTAGATTAAACATTAATTGTGACTTAGAGGGATGGCTGGGTGATTTCAAATTAATCTCAACATCTGATTATTTTGATCTTAGCTAATCAACAATCGGAATCATAATCAGTTTCCCGAACACTCTAACATTGATATTTAACTTCAAATCACAATAATAAGTTTAGAGTTTTGACACATATCCAAACACCCCTGGGAGTTCTAGTAAGATCAGGAAAGCCCTAGAAACATATATTAAAGAAATATGTAATCTGACCTAGGTTTGGATACGACGAGGTGTTTGCATACGATGGTTTCTGCAATTGCGAAGCAAAAACCAGTAGCATTTGTGATTGTAGAACATGAAATGGCTTTGAACATGAAATAGAATAGCACATGTGTGTATCAAGATTAGATTTAGGTCACAATCGCAATGACCACGAACAACTTTTGAAGATATGCTTCAAATTAAGAAGCACTATATGTGGTCATCAAATGATAATGAAAAACTCAACCTCCCAACATAATTGGGAACTATATTATACTTTTGAACACCATTTAGTGATAGAATCAATATCATAAGTATTCAATTTTACCACCGAAGTCAAAATTAGATCCATATCAGATGCATAAACACTTAAAAGAATTAGACATTGCTGTGTAGATGATTCAAAAAAAAAAAGATTGCAAACAATCGATCGATTAGTGGGGATCTAGTAGAGAATAGAGACGACTTACTTTGGTATCGAGCATAACTGCACAGAGAATACCGACGTTATCCATGGCAGTTTGGAGATTATCAAGCATTTCCTAATGATACTTATAAGATCCATGCGAGGAATCGATTCCAATTGCTAGATCAACGGCGACAAAAGATAATGACGATGAGGAAGAACATGAGCGAGGATCGTCTTTGGAGGCGATGTGACGGTAGGAGGTGGGATGAGAGAGAGAGAGAGAGAGAGAGAGATATGGATGGGGTTTGCCTGATTCACGGTAATTCATCACCAAAATGCCCCTGAATCATTTAATCATCAATGCCCCCGTGTTATTTTTTTTCAAGTATTTACAAAAATGCCACAAATGATCCTAGCCTTCTATTATTTTGATTTAACGGCCCTGATTTGGTTCTCGGGAAACTTTGACTTCTCAAATGATCCTTCCCCTCTCCCTCTCTCTCTCTCTCTCTCTCTATATATATATATATATATATATATATATATATATATATATATATATATATATATATATATAAATTAAAAATAGTAAGGGGAGCTTCCCACCCATTCCTTGGGTTTTAGGTGAAGGAAAGGAAAGTGGAGAAAAATGTGGTGTGGCCCATAAAAATTTGGGGAAACTCCCTACCCATACACTCCGATCTAAAAAGATAGCATATTGGTGTGAATCCGGTGAACACTCAAAAAATTATGAGTACTGCGAGGAAAATTCTCCACCACTCACTTCGTCAATGGCACGACATGATGATGTCTTGCATGTCGTCAATTTTGACTTGTCATGCCCACGATGTGGCCAAGAGGACTCCACGTCGTGGTGGTTGTTGACGTGGTTGACCGTTGACTTTCATTGGTCGTTGACCTGTTGACTTTTGACCAATTTGACTTTTGACAGTTAGAAATTGATGAATCGGCTTCAATCTCCAAAATAAGCAACTTTGCAAATGAATCCTCAAGCGTGATAAATGTAGAAATAAGCATCAAATCTTCAAGTCTTCAATGATTTTCCAATCCGAGTTCTAGAATGTGATATATTACAATCCGATCATCAAAAGGTAATTTGGAGAATCAAAACTCCACGAATCAATTACCCAACTTTGAGTATAAAAACATAGCCCAAAAATCTTCATTATGTCCAAACCCTTCATGAGGCTGGGAAAACCCAAACCACTTCATAATTTCCAATTCGAATCACTTCAAGATTTACTCCCCCTCAAGGTCACATTAGTCTTCAAATTCGCCTAATATGAAAAATCCAAAACTTTCGACTTTGAATTCTCATATTATTAATCTCTCCCCATTTTTTATAATAGAAATATGATTATAAAACCCAAATATGAATGAGAAAGTGCTCAATGTGGAATATGTAATACAATCCTCCTCCTTGACACATGGCATAAACGTTTCACTTCAAATCCGAAAAATCGATAAAATTTTCACTTCTAGTCGAAAAGGGATCTTCTCGGATTGCCTTAGACCAAAAATGAACAATATATGTTCATGTTGCTGAAAAACATCTTGCAAAAATAACACTCTTGAAATCCCCAAAAAAAAGCTCCAAAATTTGGAACAATTTTAGTTTATAGGTAAAAAAGTGCAATTCTTTTTGAAACTTCAGGGACTAAATGTGAAAAATTAGTGATTTTCTTCCCCAATTTAATTCTAGGGAGAATTTCATATATATCCTTCTTAAACATTAAAATATCATATTTACCCAACTTAATTTCTAAATATCATATTTACCCTTCCTAAAAATTTTAAATATCATATTTACCATTCATAAAATTTCAAAATATCATATATATCCTTTTTAAACATCATAATACATATATACCCTTCTTAAATATCAAAATATCGTATGTGTACTTTTTAAACATCAAAATATCAATGGTAATATCTAAAATATCCTTCATCTACAACATAATCAATAAAAAAAAAACTAAACAATCAAAATATACATTCCATAGAGAGGGTTGAAGATGAATATTTTTGTTTGTCAAGAGGACGACATCCAACAATTTAGAAGTTCATATTTCATTATCTTAGAATTAAGGATAATATCCTTAAAATTTTTAATTATTATAGTAATTTTAAGTTATAAAAAATGATTATAAAATATTAAAAACATTATAAAAAGGATTTGGGTAAATATGATATTTTGAAGGTGTATGAAGGGTAAATATGATATTAAGAAATTAAACTGGGTAAATATGATATTTTGAGATTTAAAATGGGCATATATGAAATTCTCCCTTAATTGTAAATAGCAAGAAGGAATGCACGCAGCAGTCGAAACTTCACTTTCGACTCGAAAATAAATCCAACTTTGGACTATTAAGCATTTGAACTTCCGATACCAAGCAAACAACTTTCAACTATCAACAATCGAAAGTTAACTTTCGACTCTTAAATGGATTTTCGACTACCAAGCTTTGATTTTTGACTCCACAGCTTGATATCAATTTTACAAGTCAAAAATTAAACCTTCAATTTCAACTCTAACCATCAAATCCATTCGATTCAAAAAATCTCTAACCACTCATAACGAAAATTTAGCACTCGCAATCAAACCATCTTCACTCGTTACAAACACAAATCTAACCCTTCATTATCAACCAAAAATCGATATCCAACTATTCGACCCAATATCAAGACATCAATTCGAACTCAACATCTAATCATTTCCAATCAACCACTCGAAATTAACCATTCACAGTCGAAACCCATTCAACAATCTTCATCGATAACAATTTTACATTCAATACTCAAACCCATTTTCACTTTCGATTCAAAATCTATTGTTCCAATAACAAACCCAAATACACTTTAACCTTTTGATTCATAAACCCAAATACAGTGGAAGCATCATCAATCTTCTTAACGAAAATAACTTTTGACTTCTTCTTTTCACAGTTAACTTTCACATCGATACATGTGAACAATAAAATTGGGTAATTTTTTTAACCCACAAACACCAATTCCATGATTCACTAAACAATTTCAGATCAAATATAGTATTTTAATTGTTCTTCGTTTGTTCTTCATCTACTCTTGGATTGTTCACCATTGAGTCCTTCATATTGTTCATTATCAACAATCGATTATACCAAATTGATGTAAGAACATGATCAAATACAAATCAGAACACACAAAAAAAATCGATCGATCATAAGCGAATTGATGATGAAATCTGAGAATGATCTTGATGCTGGTTATCACCAAATCGAATGAAAAATCAAATAATTTTTATATATTTGTGAATCGACAAATGATTTTGAAATCCATGTGATCAATAAAGCAAATATTACGAATCAATTTTACAGAAGAATGATAAAAATCTAATGTCGAATTTTACATAAGCACTGTATCTAGAAGTCATAAGATTGAGAATTGGTTTGACTCAAGAATAAAGATCATCTAATCTGAACGGCTTGATTTTGGGTCAAAATAGACATGAAGAGTAACAAATCAATTATATTGAATTTGGGTTTTTATAAGTTGGATCAAATATTCGTCACAATGAACCGTAAAAGATTATATGATTGGATTGGGCATGATCAATAACAGTGAATAGTATTGGATCAAAAATAGTTGGATGTGGCTAGATCAATGAAAAGAAAAGCTTTGGAACCTAACAATTAGGCTTGAAACAAATTTGATCCAAACAAGTCAAAGTGATTAAAAATCAATAACAAAAGCACGATTCCGAGAGATTTCGAGAGATTATCGAGAGACTCATCATAGATCGTTCACATTGTGTTGATTGTTGTCAAATCAAGAACTATTTCTTCAAAAATCACTTCGATCTTCAAAGACCCTCTCTGATACCAATTGTAGTGTTATGAGCATTTGATTTGACATGCGGAATTGTAAAGAACACAATGAACATGGTGATTTGGGTGTCTAAGAGATTTATTCAATTATGCAAGGAGTTACAAAAGGTGTACAAGATCTTGACAAATAAATAACTCACACTCACACTCTCAATGTTACATCTCTCAAGCACGCTCTAATAGTGCTATGCAAACCACTATTTGTAGAGGTGCTACAACTACTCTCTCTCTCTCTATCTATCTATCTGTCTATCTATCTATCTATATATCTATCTATCTATCTATCTATCTATCTCATGTCACTAGGCTTCAATCTCACATGTGTAAGTGGGTCTTCTCAAGCCAAGCATTTACCTTTCATCTAATGGAGAACTTTGTACCCAACAATATTCATTTACGTTGCACGCCCCGACGTTCCGTAGAAATCGCATCCTGCAACACAATTTTACATTCGTCGAAAGCAATGTGTAAACTCTTACGATGAATAATCATAAAATAAATCCTTTAGCTCCTACTAGACCATTCGGGAAATAATGAAATCTCCGAAAAGGACATGGCCAACTTCCTTTCAAAGATATAGAAGAAGACGCCATGAAAGAGGAAACGACAAGTGAAACAAGCCTCGAGTTGAAGCTCTAAAGTAGATGAAAATACCCTAAAATAGTTACACCCCAACAAAAAGGTTAAAGTGAACCAAATGCATAAATCACCGAGTAGAAATTCTACATTTACTTGAAAATAAGGGCATGAGGCTTGCTATCAATCTTGATTCCAAATTTGGGGCACATATAGTCGATACAAACTTTGCACATTAAAAAGACTTGGTGTTGATAGGTCCAAAAAACAGTTTGCTTGGGGTTAAAAATGTAGTTGTAGCATTTGAAAATTCACTCTGATAATTATCAAACACTTAAGGGCAGCAAAACTGACTTCTAAATTTTGCTTGTAGGAGGCTTGATTGAACCCAAATTAGTTTGTAAAAGATAAAGATCTAATGGTTTGTGCTAGGATATGTTCCAATTAAAGTAAAATTAGATTTGTGTTTAGAGCAGAGGAAGAATGTGTTTTTATATTAAATAGTAATTTATTTGAAACTTGTATTTAGACATAGAAATTTGAAAAGGCAAAAAGATTTTAAATAGTTGTTATTTATAAATTAAAATGTGATTAGTTTAGATTTGATATAATCATATAATGAGAATTTGTACAAAAATAAAAAATAATATTTTTTTAAAATAAG